TTATCAATCTGTAATAAAAGACGTGAGGAAGTTCTGTCTTTTTAAAAGACAAAAATTTTTGAGGCGAAATACCCAAAAAGAAGTTTGTAAAAAATGAATCCGCCTCAACAATGTAGAACTTATCTATTATCACCTTTGTTCTCCTGCCTTGCAAACAGTTGCACCATTTGCGGTTTCTTGATCGATCGCTCTGCGCTAGCGGCTTCCGCTACTGATCTGCAGTCTCCAAAATGAGCAGTCTGAGCTGATTTATGGCGATGGCCTGGATGCAGTTTACACTTTGATAGGGCTTGATGTCGAGAATCCAGATTTTTACGTACTTCGCTCCGATGGTGAGTAATCTTCCGGTGAAAAGCTGCGTTCTTGTGGCAGGAAGGGCGGTTGGTTTTTCCCAATCGGAAATGTGCCCCCATACGTGATGGGCGTGGTGGTTTGGACGGATCTTGGCGGTTTGGGGCGGCCATACGAAGGCGGGGCTGGAACAGCGCTTGTTTGATTGATTTTCAAGCCAACGTTTAAATGCACCAAAGGCAGTTCTTACTAACAAAAGCGCTTACACCGACATCCGCCACCGATTTTACTCGGGTTGTTTGGAAGAGGTAGGTGGAAATTCTGGAACAGTTCATAATGCAATTGACAAACTCCTGCAAGCCGCATACTTACATGATTTTGCTGGTTACATCCACTAAAAACACTATGGCGATAATTCCGTCTAGCACCAGCAGGACTTGTATCAATTCGTGAGGGGAGTGCATTTTGTAGATGTAGAAGGTGACTCCGGTGAATAGCGCCAAGTTTACTCCTGCTGCCAACACTTGCAGCGTTAAAGGCAAAGCCCTGGAATGGGAACAATTAGGGAACCTTGCAGGTAGGATGGGGGCTTTACCGTTTGAAATACTGGTAAGTAACTTCCGCCATTACAAGAATGGTGCTAAAGGAGGTGGAGAGGATTAGTGTTGCCCCATTGATAGCGCCTAAAGTCGCATTTATGGCCGCAATCGTAAAGCATAAGCTCAGCAAACACGTGGCCTGCAATTATTAAGTCTTTTATTTTAGCTTATAGTTTATTTAATCCTTGTGTTCAGTTTTTATCAAGGTTTACTTTTTTTGTGACTTTTTTCGACTAAAGCATCTTAATAACGTACCAATTCCAGCCATTTCAAGACCGTCAAGGATCTAGTCGTTTCTTCTTGCACAAAATAAATGCGAATTTGCGATTCGCTCTGAATGCGAAGCTTGTTTCTTACTGGCAATATTGTGTCTTCATACATCTATTTTTTAGTCATTCGATTTTTTAAATAATATTGCTGTCGCCTTTGTTCGGTTTGAAGTTGGCATTATGGTGTCAATGTGTTTTTTACCTGCAAAGTTAAACTTTTATCGATTTACCCCGGTATACACCAATGCGTTTTTTCAGTTAAAAAAAAATTGACTGCAAACCATTATTTAATTCACGATTTATACAATACAAAACTAGCAGAATCAAAACATGCGATAATATACAGAGGGATTCACAACCTTATGGACAGAGAGCAGGGGCGTGTAGAGGACCTC